TTTGGGTGCTCACCAGTGAGGAATCTAAACTGAGTTTGGGCTTGGGTAGCAAAAGGGTAAACAAGGTTTGTGTATGTGAGCTTTTTGGCTCTGGATTCCTTAGCTCTAGTGATGAGGGTATCTCTCTTAGGAACCCCTCACCAACCACCAGAACAAGGAGGGCACCTTTCACAGGGGAGATTTCTATCCTGCAGTCAAAGCAGTGGAGGGCCGCCCTGCCCCTCTTGCACTGGCTGCTTGTTAGGTGACTTCAATTCAGAGTGATCAGTATGCCATTGTGGGGTGTTTTGGGATAGCCTGCCCTGAGTCCCAACAGTGTGTTCAGCTGTTTAGTGAACATAAGGAGAGATGAGACTCAACTTCTGCTATTATGAAAACTGCAGTCCATGAACAAAAGGGAGATAAACATCTATCTGGGATTCAAGTGAGAGAAATCTGCACTAGATAGAAGTATAAACAGTGGATTGTGGGGTCGAGAACAAGGGATTCTGCTGCTTAGAAGAAGAGTAGCACAAGGAGGGATGGGTTTAGATGGCATTAGGGTCAGTCGTAGATGGATGAGTGATTTCATCAGGTGAAAAAAGGGGAGAAGGGCATTGCATGCTGAGCAAGGAACATGCTCAAGGCAGAGAGGGGCCAAAGTGAAAAGGACATGGCATTTGGGAGAATACAAAGAAGACAGATGAAGTGAAGTTGAGGAGTGTACCTCTGTCCCTCTCTCCTTCCTCTCTCTCTCCTCTCTTCCTCCCCGCTTTCCTCTATCACTCACTCCCTTCCTTCCATCCAACTTCCAACTTCCTTTCCCCCTCCTTCCCTCTCTGCCTCGTAATAGCCCTCCATCCTTTCTTTCATCCTTCCGGCAACAATTACGTGCCAGGCACTGGGAATATGTGCTGAACCAAACATTTAGCCCTCCTTGATGGAGCCTAGAGTCCAGCCCAGCAGGGGCAGTTCTCCTTTTATTAGGACTATAGGCTTGGGAGTTACATAGAGGATCAGGGAATGATTCACAGCTAGAAGTCCAGCTGGAAAGCCATTTCAGTAGACCCAGAGAAGACAGACCCAAATCTTTTATCAGGAAAGTCACCATGGCACTGCAAAGATGGGGTGTATGCAACTGATTGTTATCAGACCTCAGTGGAATAATTGCACAGTATAGTTTAAGGGTTGAGAGCATGAACCTAGCAGCCAGACTATCTGGGTTTGTATCTCAGTTCCAGTCCTTACTACGTGTTTAACCTTGGATAAATTGTTTAACTTCTCTGACTCAGTTTACTTATTTACAAAATGGGGATTACAATAATAATACCTCCCGAATAGACTTGTCATGGGGATTAAATTAGTTCATAGGTGTAACTGCTTAGAAAAGTGCCTGGCACATATTAACCCTATATAAATGTAAGCTATGATTATTAAATTACTTCTAGTTTGCTAAATGAGAATGAACTTCTAAAAGAGGAGTTAATCAGTCCCTATCGGTCCCTCTCTTGCTAGAAACAATAGGTCCTGTAGTTTGCATAGAAGTGAATAGCTTTTCAGGAATATAAAAGTATCAACACATATCCAAATGTTATGGAAAGAAATAAAATAGTAGCAATTATTATTATTATTTTTAATGATTTGACTTGGATTTTATTTTATTTTATTTATTTTATTATTATTATTTTTTTTTAGCTGAGCCATCCTGCCACCTGTTGGCAGCTCAGCGGCTGCTCAGTTCGGGCCAGGACTCGAACCACTGTTGCTTAGAGCTCAAACTCTTAAGCGAGCTCTTAACCAACTGAGCCACTCAGCCGGCCCAGTAGCAATTATTTAGAGCCAATCTCGTCATTATTCTATTATTTCCCTTTCCAATCATGGGAAGAAATTTAAGTGAAGAAAGTATACATACATACATATATATATATTAAGTTTTAGAGGAGAAAAGTATGTTCAGTGGTTGACAAATTTTGCTTAAGATTCAGAAATGTCTTACAAATGGAAATCCAGGCTTTGGGTACAATTGGGGTAGGGAGAGACGCCACAAGAGACTCATCTTCTATTTTTATTGTCTAAGCTAATGGTCCATTAGCACAGCTCTTTGAGGCTGACTGTAGATAATGTGTGCCTTCCAGGGCAAGGATGCTAGGTGGATGTTTCCTAGTGGTGAAAAGCAGCATTATTTTTCTTAGAGGAAGACTGTGAACATTCCCACTTTTTGCACATAATAGTAAAAATAAGAAAGATCAGTAGACAGCGGGCAAAGAAATTACCAAGATAATATCAGTGTTCAAAGGGAAATGCCTATGTTCATAATTGGTTTAATAATTTTGATTTCAATAATGGTTTGTTCTTATTAGCTATTCAGTGAAATGATGTTAATTTTAAGGTCCATCAGTTTAAGAAGAACATCTATGCACTTTCAGGCAGATTTGCATTAATAGCAAAGTGATATAAAATGAAAATTTTCAGTAAGCTCATTATAGATTTGAACAGTTTATCCTTTAAAAATAAGCTTCAAAAATCTTAAATTCTGATATCCACATAAAAAAAAATCTATGATACTAGTCAATAATTAAGCTTCCCAGTGTACTGTAATCAAGAGTTGTTTTTTTCTTTCCTAGGCTCTGACATAATTTTGAACACATTCATTTCAAATTGCCAGGTATTTACATTTTCAGCCATTTTAAATTTGGTATTACCAAACAAGTAGGAAGCATCAATGTTTCTTATTCCTAGTAAGTCTGTCCCTTGATCACTCAGCTTTTCTGCGAAGGAACAGCTGAGCCTCATGTGTTGGAAGCCTGCCACTTGGGCACGACCTCCCACTCTTGGCAGTCAGGTTCATGCTGAGACAAGAGCCACCACAATTTCTGTGTCCCAGGAGACAACGCCACCACGTGTAACCAACCCCACCAGTGCACCCAAATCTGAGTGTGTCCTAGGGCCTGCGGCCGCCATGTTGTTACTAAATTGACATGCGTGCAGGCAGTCTTGGATCAATTAGTAAGCTTAATTGAAGTGGAATGTAATTAACCATACAATATGAAGCTGTCCAAATTTAAGTCCACTATAATTATGTAATGAATCTGGAACATAAAGGATTACTAGCAAAAAGAAAACAGATATCAGTAAAGATCGTTCTTGGTGAATCCTCCTCACTCACCTTTGATTACCCGAGACCCTTGGGATGCAGGCATCTGTATTTTGAAACATGTGGCCCACCATGTGAAAATCAAACACAGACACACACACATGCACAAGTTGGATACTTTCGCCTCGTGGGTTTAAAAGTATGCTTTGTTTTCATCTATCTGATGTGATCAATAAATTGATAAAGGGTAACCCAATGCATGGTAGCATCCATCTAGGATAAATGCTAGTTGGAAGTAGTTTTCTATATGGCTTACCATGGGGCTGTATTTATAGAAAATCTTAGTGAACATCAAAACAAAACCAGAACAACAGACACTGACACTTCACACTTGTTTGGTGGCAACAAATTTAAAATGGCTTAAAATTCAAATGCCTGGCATTTTGAAATGAATGTGTTTAAAATTACATCAGGAAGTTAGCGAAAAGACAGCTTCAAATACGTACTTGAAATACAACACTGATTGATTTGTAATGATAAAATAATGACTAGTTTAATTATTATTCATCCAGGATTGTAAAAGCAAGGAACATTTTTCCATAAGTGAATCTTCATATTGAAATAATTAGAAATATCTTTCTTATAGCATTCCACCAAACTGTCATTTGGTTCTGTTTTTTAAAATAAAAGTGAAGTAAATGATCTTAATTTACAAAATATTTCCAACACATTTTGATATTTAATAACTGTAGAATTTAAAAGCGTATCCATGAATATGCATGGTTAAGTGCATACTTAAATGTGATATGCAAATTATTTATGATGCGAGAGACGCAGAGACAGTAAGGGAAGAGGAAGGTTATGGGTAGTGATAGACTTGCCATTTGGAGATGTACATATTCAGACTTAAGGTAAGTAAACAATTTAAGAAACCACCAGATTCACCCAACGGATGCTGATTATTTCAGCTCATTTGTTTTTAAAGGTTACTTAAACTGTTTAGGAATTTTTTTTGACGAGCCATATGTTGCAACAGCCAGAGCTCTTTCACGCTGAAAGACTGTGCAGGTTGTTTTCAGTTTCATTGTTTACTGGCAATCATAATAGCAATTTTAGTTTTGTTTCTGTCTCAATTATGCAAAAGTGAGAACATGACTAATTAATTCTCTCAAGTTGATAACACCCTTGAAAAAATTTTGAACATTTATACTGTAAATCCTCTCAAATTACTTTCCCCACTGAATAGTGTGTGCTGTATACAGTTTGTGAGTTTCAAAGTTTCTCCGTTTGGGTACAAATTCTAAATCTTGACAAAAACGGCTTCATGGATTACCCTGTCAATAATATCTGAGTATATGAAATGTACCAATAGCAGATAATGTACAGTTTTATAGTTCCCGTATAATTATTCTAGTGTTTTACCTTAAGCAACTTTTTCACTGATGTTCTTAATATAATTTACTTATTTGTTTTTTACATTTTCCCACAAAAACAAGAAATTTCCTCTTTTTGCATTAGCCACATATGTTTAGAGCAAAATAAATGTCCAAATAGAGGAGTCCGCATCATGTCTCTTCAGAGTGTTTTTAATTTCATGCATGTGTGAAAGATAATGTGATTCCCAGGTACCAAATATCCCTCAGCCATTCATGTTCACTACTGTTATCTGGAATAAAACTAGATTAAATTTGCAGAATGGTGAATTACTGAAAATAACGACATTAAGGCAACTCATTAATCTTTATCTGCTTGTCTATGTTGTATAGCCTGGATGAAATGGAAAAATTCATTTGGGGGCCAATCAGATTGAAAAGGGTTCTTAACATTATGAAGAGAAACATGGGGCTGAAAGTGTTTTGGTTTTTTTTTTTTTCTTTTAAAATTATACACAGCACCTTTTCCTTACATGCCTCTGTTTTTCTTTTAGTGGCAAAGCATTTCTATAACACTGGTTGAGAAAGTTCAGATGATTGCTGTAATCCTAGGATCCCTGTTCTTAATAGCCAGTGTGGCCTGGCTCCTGTGGTCAGCCTTCAGCCCCTATGCCGTGTGGCAGAGGAAGGACATCCTTTTTCAAATCTGCTATGGAATGTATGGTTTTATGGATCTAGTGTGCATAGGTAAGACCATGCTGTTGAACGTTAACGAACTGTCAGTAATCCATTTCTTGCAGCTATTGTATTGTCGCCAGTTGGATGTAATAGAGAATGTTGTGGTTCGCACAATCTTCATTCTCCAGTTAATTAACTCTCTGGGGCATCACAATCTGGCCACTTTTCTCACAAAGCAGAGCATCTATATACATACCCAAGCACTCTGAAAAAAATGAACACAATAATGCCCATGTAAAGTGACACATTTTACATGCAAAGGAAGGAGGCGTGGGAGAAATTACTTGGAGTGGGCGGTAGAAGGACAGTCATTTGTTTCTGAGGAATAAGCGCAAATCAGTCCCCCTTCACAAAGCTGGAATAGTATTGACTGGTGCTGATGGTGATAATTGTGTGAAGACCACACCTAGAGGTCTTCACATCATGGATGACGTGGTGACTCAGATTCTGCAAGGGCATAAAGAGCTCCTTGGAAGGGTGGTGGCTTGGGGACGGTTTTCCTTGTTTGCCCCATGTCTCTTTGTTTCACATGAAATTCAGTGTCTTAGAAGAGAAAAAGGAGCGAACATTTTAGCTTAAACAGGTTCTACAATAAAAGGTTACTTACGTGTTTCACTTGACCTGTTTCCTTAATGCCATGAGAAAACGGAAGCCGCTTCACGCAGTGGTCCTGCAGCGTGTATGAGTTGCCACAGGCAGCATAATGGGGACCAGTTGGCAATGGGGGCCAGGGGTGGAGAGGGGCAACACTGTTCCAAGGAGCTGTTCCCTGTTGTGATGTGGTTTCGAGCTTAGTGGGACGTACAAAGAGCTGAGGGGGGCAGCTGCGGTTTAAAGCAGTGGTTCTCCGAGTGTGGTCCGAGGACCACTGGCAGCAGCAACCTCTGCGGCCCTTTTTTAGAAATGCACATCCTCAGGCCCCACCCCAGACCTGCCGAGTCAGAACCCTCAGCCCCAGCCATGTGTTTCACAAGCCCCCCCAAGGCTCTGATGCACGCTAAAGCTTGACAACCACTGACTTCAGGGGATGGATAGATGCTCCCCCGGATCAAATGACTTAGCCTTTAATCCTGGCCTTCGCTTGAACAGATCAGCTCCGTCTCTCCGTATTCCTGTTTTCTCACCTATAAAAATGGGAATAATCTTCCCCAGCTCACAGGCCTAAAGAAATGAAATAGTGATTATAAAATAATGTTATTAATTACACGTTGTAGATTAAATGTATTTGAGTAAGTCACAAACATTAAAATCCTTTGAATCATTTAATGCCTCTGCTCACTAGAGCCTTAATTTAGCTAGCAATTTTAATATTCACAGTCATTTGTTTCTAAGAGAACTCTATAAATTTTAAAATATGATCAGCTTGAATTTCCCCTCCTTATCTTCTTTCCTCCTTTGTCACTAGTACAAGACCAACTGGAAAGAAAATGATCAAATTTCAGGCCAGAAAGGCAAAAAGAAGGAAGGGAAATGTCATGAATAATATGTAAACTGAGCAGATGTTGCCTGAATAATTGGACTAATCATGTATATGAGCAATTTGCATTAAATGTGATAATGCATATGTAAGCAATTGGAAATTCTAAATCTCTGTACAAATATAATCTCTAGGGTAGTGCTCTAAATGAAGAAGAATCACAAATTGTTCTACAAATCCCTCAGCAAATTCAGAGATAGTGTTTTTTCTGTCCTTCAACATTTTCAAACGTTATAAAATGTGATATTCTGTTGATATTAAAAGGAGAGGTGAAAAACAAAAGAGCTATTAGAGTCCTAATCCAACCTGGAGGGAAAAACAATTTCACTTGGCTTTCTTAATGTTATTATAGCGCTAAAATGGGCCATGTATGTCCTGGATAGGAAATCATTTTCCTGAATTTCACAGCTTGTATTTGAGTTATTGTATCTCAAATTTTGATTGCTAATGCCATACTTTTAATTAAGATTATTAGAATTCTGCTTTTAAAAGCACATATATATATATGAACTAATGATCTTTCAACAGTATATGACATATTTGGGATGCCCTTTTGAAATCTGGGTGTTTACCCATTTTATAAAGTCAAGTTTCTTAGGAACAAAAGACAATTGACATTTTCCTGGAGACACTTTGGAGAGTGAATCTTTATCTAAATTTTAAATATTGACAATACTCTCCATTGTCTTCTGGCTCATCAAACCTAAATGTCATTACTCAATGATTTATTTGTATATTTTGAAAGATATTAAAGAATTCAGATTGAACAATATTGTTGATTTCACTTAGCAACCTCATTAATTAGTCTGTTTGGGCCAAGAGAAAAACCTTTCCCGCCCCCCCCACCCCGCAAGAAATTAGGAAACTACCATAGTCAAGAAAGCAAATACAGGTAGGCTTCCAATAGCCAAATGGATCATAGGCTGTAATAGCTTCTGATAACATTTCCAATTAATTCAGATGTCTGCTAATTAAATGCAGGCAGTGGCAAAGAAAGTAGAGTACATTGCTTATACCTCAGATACCCCTGACAGCAAGACTTTGAGTCAGAATAGAATGAAAAGCAGGTTTACATACAGCCTTGAATCCAATTTGCTCGGCTCAATTCAATAAATATTTATACAGGACTATCTGTGTGCCAGACACAATGCTAGGAATACAAATAAGAGTCAGTGCTTTCCTGCCCCCAAGTAGCTTCTAGCCACATGTGGAGGGTGGAGGGTGGACATGTAAGTAGGTAACCAGAATACAGTGGGATGTGCACAGTTATGGAAACATGCACAGGAGATGGTAGTTAGACAAAACAGAGAGAGATTAATGCTGGAGCGTTGTGTGCAGACAGGGTTCAGGCAGGTTTCATGGGCCAGTGAGAGCCAAGCAGGCTAATGAATGAATAGATGCTTTGCAAATGGGAGATGGCTTTCTTGTCACTGTTGGAGAATGAAAGATTGGCTTGCCATTCAGAGGGCTTTAAGCAGTTGGAAACCTTCCTACATTCCCGTTTGGCTAATCTTTTCAAACTTGTTTATACCTAAATGAGAAGGAACAGGTTGACAGATTCATAAATGTTCTTTTTAAAGAATAATTCTGAAAATCTATAGAAGACTACTTCAGAATAAAAAAATGTAATCCAGCCAGGTGTACGTAATACTTAGGAGGAGAGTATTATTGGGTTCTTAAATAGCAATGTAAAGATTTGTAGAAAATTTATTTACTTGGGGAAATTTATTTACTTGTTTCCAGACACAGTGAATTTGTTTGTTGCTTTCATTCATTATTAATTAATGCATTTTCTGTTTTCCCAAGATCCAGTTTCTTCTTGCTATTGAAGTTTTGAAGTCTCCCGAGGGTCTAGGTTCTATTGTAGTTGAAATACCTAATCAAGGCTGCCCAGTAGAACTTTCTGCGGTGATGAAAATGTATATCTGTACTATCCAGTACCCTAGACACTGGCTACTTTTGGCTATTGAGCACTTGAAAAGTGGTTAGTGAGAACGAGAAACTGAATTTTAAACTTAATTTTATTTAAAATTAATTTAAATTTAACTTAAATAGCCACATGTGGCTAGTTGGCTACATATTGGACAGATTTCGAGATGATGGAATTATATTGGGTTGTCGAGAAAGTCATGACGTATTTTTGCATTGAAAAACATAGAAAAATATGTCATGACTTTCCTGACGACCCAATAAACGTGTAAGGGCTTGATTAACACGTTTCACCGTGTCTATATAAATAGGTTGTGTTTCCTTAATGACAAAGAAACTGTTCCACAAGAGATGAATAACGTGAGGCTGAGCTTAAGAGGGTTAAGAGAAGGAAGGGCATTGAAGGTGGGAGGGCGCAGCTCAAGAGGTAGACAGCCGTAAGAGGGAGACATGCCTTAAGCCAATGGAAGTACAAAGAGATAAAACTTATATTTGGGGAGCTCTTCTAAATATTTAAATAGATGGCATTCAAACGATAGTTGTGCACCAGGAAAACTAATATAATGGATTTAAGTCAGATGTTATAGCCCAGGGGCAGCCATTTAGGGAGAAGGAATAACCAAAGGAAGCTCACGTTGACTCCCTCCTAAGATTTTCACAGTGGCCACAGCAAGGTTAGCAGACTCAGCAATGAAGAGCAAATGCTGGCGGAAAGCGCTGGGCACGGGGTCTGGTTGTTACCGCCATACTTTGCACATTGAGAAAATAGAAGGCTCTCGTTTCCATTGGTCATGCGATTCAAAGGAAGTTTGGGCCATCAGAGGGATGTGTTTGATTAGTGACTAAAAGGTTGAGGGACTAAGAGATGGCCATAAGGACAGGGAGTCCTTTGATTAACTTGCTTCTAAAAAGTGAGGGCAGTTACCAAGTCATTTTGGTGTCTGGTAGAATAGAGGTGAGCTCAGTTTCTTGTAGAAGCAACGAACTAAAACTAAAACCCTATTATGTGAGCGGGATTCCTGAAATAGAGATAGCAGTGCGTACACTTAATCTGATTAACACTATAAAGTCATGCCAAACCCATGTCTGAAAATGTTTTGATCTTTCCAGAGATACTAAGGGAAGGAACTGCTTATGGTTACAAAACTTAAAAAACTCGAATTACTAGTGTTCTTTTAGAAATTTTTCTAATTGTCCACATACATATATACATATTCAAATTAAAAAGTCTTTTTTACTTATAATTGTGAAATATATAAAGTGTAAAAAAGTCCGTTTTACTCACACTGGGCTTTCTGTGATGTCACTCCATTTGCAGAAATGTCCCCTCAACGTTTTGATGTATATCCTCCAGATCTGGGTACCAAGATATTGATGCATTTTATTTTTCATATCAGCAGGATGTATTATTAAACAAATAGTCTTCTTCATTCAGCAGTGTGATCTAGAGCTCTTTTCTCATTAGAACAGATGTATGTGATTTACTTAAACTTTCTTCTACTGGCGGATATTTAGGTTTTCCCGGTTTTTACCACTAGGAACAATGCTGCAAAGGACATCCTGTTATGTATTTTTGTAGGCAGGATTCCGAGAAGTGGAAAGT